GAGAAGAGAAGAAAGTGATACTGAACAAGCTTTGCTACCAAAAGAAACACTACCTCCACAGGAAGTGACCTTATCCCAATCGGACCACTGCACCCTGAGGTTCAATACTGTCACCACTGAATGGCAGAGGCTCTCAGGGATTCAGGCAGGAGCCCTTCACATCCCTCCCTGAAGATGCTCGGGACTAAATCAGATGGAAAGCAGATGTTTACCACTGCCCTAGAACCCTTCTCTAGGAACCCAGCTATAGAACTGGTTAGTGGAGAGTGTTGGTTTTCCAGCATCTTGGGACTGGAGTGAGACAGACCCTCAAAAGTTTGCATGTTCAAAAAGCACCTGCCCACCTGCTAACAAATAAAGCAAAAATGACTAGAAATGGAAGCTAAATTCATCCTCCAGGTTAAAGATAAATTCTCAGGCAGATCTGCAGGTTAGTTGGCACAACTGCTGTGCTATAAACAAAATCTGCATTTGAAATCTGTCTTGTTAGCAGGCCCAAAATGCTGACTGCCATCAGAAAAGGCTTTATCTTAAAGGTTTTATCCTAAAGACAAAAAAGGCTTTAGTATAAATATTTACACATATTTGCATCAAGAAAAGTGCACAAAAAAATCTACCTCAGTCCTTTAAGTAGCTGGATCTAGTTCCATAATAATTTTCCACCTCAAGTTCCCACTCTGGAAAAATTAAAATGGTGGAAGATTCCATTGCCTAGCATTGTGTGGAGTGCTGTGTAGAACACTCCTATACACACCTGTAGTTGAGTTTTGGCACTTATGGAGGGTGTCACAAGATGTCCTGTTGACTCCAGACACACAAAGAGGCAAAGCTGAGTAAGGGTGAACTAATCTCCAAATGAGTCATTTCATTTCAATTGGAAGGCACCTAACAACAACCATCTCCAGCCTGCAGTGACTCCTTCCCATTTCGTCTCTAGTTTTGAAGCATTTACAAGGTATGTCACACATAAACGCAGGGTTATAAACATGCTTGCTTTGTTATCTTATTTTATTTACAAATCAAGGCTTTGAAACATCTACCAGATCTGATTTCAGGCTTGGCTGTGCAGATTTCCCTGCCTACTCCATGCAATCCACTTAACTCATACTCAATTTTTAAGTAAGTAGGCTAGTTTTCTTCCAGGAACACTTACCTGATGCACTGGTACAGAGTACTCAGTTCTGCTACTAGTTCAGAAGCACCTTTATTCTCATTGCAGCAGAGATTGTGAACAGTTTCAACTGCTTTTGAAGTGGACTTGAGCTCATCTTTATTGATGCTTACTCTCTTGTTCTAAGAATGATAGAGCATGGTTTGGGAGACAAAAAGTGTATTTAACTGCTGAGAAAGTAGCGTACAGTACAGATCTTTATTCTGCCATCCTTTCTGAAAACAGGACATTTCTGAGCTCTCTGGGGGCATTTTGCTTCCCACTGACAAGAGAGTTAGCAGAAATATTCCCAGTTGAATACCATAAGATATGCAATACCAATTTTCAAGAAAGCAGATTTTGAACCATAGAGCTCAATATGTTAAGAATGACTGAAATTATTGGCAAGAGAGTGCTTCCCTCACCCCCTTGACTGCAGGCAAGACGGAGAGCATCAGACTTTCAGAGTAATACCAACATGTTATGTTTGGCCACTCCCAATCTAGGCTTACTGCAAAGAGCAGACCCCCAGCATGTGTGGGGAGGGTGAGTGACTAGGGCAGACCCTGTAGAACTCAGAAGGAAGACTGAGGCAACAGCTTCCTCTTGTTATCAGTGCATGGCTGGATTTACAAGTCACAAGACAAGCAGTGAAATCTCAGCCAGAGGATCTTTGAATTCCAACCACCTTGCACTAAGGCAAGTACACCTATGAACCCAACTATCCCTAAATAAGGAGTCCAAAAAGGCACAGTTTTACGCACCCTACATCACTCAACTCGTACTGCTCTGCAATGAAAGAAAACAAGCAAGGAAGGTAGATAAAGGCAGGTATTGCCAACAGGATAATGTTGTCAGGAAAAAGGATGCTGAAGGGCTCAAGCTATTGGCACACCACCTCCTCTTATCTTCAGCCCTCTTCACCTGTACTTCAGGGACACCACACCATTTATTGCTGGGGTGAGGGAACAAGTCGCAGATGGCATTCCTTCCAGGATGAATGGCCCAAAGTGGGATGAGCCACACATGCTCTCTCTGGCCCCTCTTCCTCTCACTCTCCACACCCAAGAGGTTGCGGGAGAAGGGACAGATCATTCTTGACACAGCTCTGGACTCATCACTTGCAAAGGAACTGGAGGGCTTGCATTCCGAATCATGAATTCTGGCACGAAATCTCTTCCAGCCTCTACAATCAATTCACCCCAACCCCAAAGATCCCTAATGCAAAACTATACAACTGTGTCTTTAATTAGGTTATTTCATAAAATATTCCATGTAGCCATTGTTTGGGGAAGAAAGATTAGGACACAGAGCATTAAGGAATGGGATGAACAACTGGTACACAGAAGGCTGGTATCAGCACCTTTGTTTCTTTAATTTCTATACCACCCATCAGCTGAAGCTCTCTGGGCAGTTCATAACACCGGGCATCCTTTTAAAAGGAGGCTGAGGAATGTAGGTGGCCCACCTGAGAGGACTCAGGAGCAATGGGAGAATATTCTGTAAAAATGCCAAATAGTTTTTCAAAGAAGGCAAAGGTTCACATACATTAGCACTTCTGGAAGGAAAGAAGTCAAGCTTATACTTTTATTCTAAGCAATGATGGGAAATAATACTTCATCTTGTTTTAATGCAGCTTAGCCACAAAACAGCATGCACTGTTTACCTTTTTCCATGTTTCCACAACGCTAGCTGCATATGCCAAAATATGGATATATTTGTGTTTATGGTCCTGATTGATCTTCGCCCCTGGCTTGAATAGTGACAGCATGAAGAGATCAAGAAAAGCAGGAACTCTAATCTGCAATGGTTGTGGAGACACATGACAAGGATTGGCTTAAGCAAAAGGCTTTTTTAAGAACTAAACACTGAGTATGGATTGTGCTTCTATTCTCAATAAAAGTACATTTCATAGGTAATGTTTACTAAGAAGTTTCACATTAAGACTATCAACCATGGCAGTCAAAAATGTAACTTTGATTAAAACACACACCAAAAAAATTAAGGAATCATACATCCCCAAACCACTGAGACATCTCCCAAAGGGTAATCTTAAGAATAAAGACTGAAATTTCATATATTTGGAAGAGGAAGGGCTCAGCAGCGCTATTTTGGGCACAGAACACAAGAGGACAAGAAAGATAATCCCAACATTGTTTTGAATCAGGTAAAATTGATGCATCAGTTAAGAGAATGAGTTGCATATCAGAAATCCCTGGTTTGAATGTTGCATCAGCTCTGAACTTACGGTTTCATCTTTGGCAAATGACTTTCTGTTTGCATCATCTGCTCATTCACTACATGGGCATAACAATAATTCTTTCAAGGTTGCTCTCCTGGTTAGTATTGCATATGTGAAGCACTTTGACTATTTAAAATCATTAGGTATTAGGTTATTTCACCAATATAAAGGGATAATTCTCAGTCTCACCTTCACCAGGTCTGTACAAGTGCTAATATCTTTTTTAGAAAAAGGCAGAACCCCCAGAGGAAAAGGAGGCAAGCAAGTCACAAAGGTGTCTTAGGAGAAGCAGAAAAGTAAAATATGCAAATTTGCAGGAACTGCAGCACAGGCATTCAAAGGGTTGGAGGAATAAGCTGTCTTAGGGCAGTACCTCTGTGTCTGGCTGCAGCCCTCCAAACTCAAGAGGATGCATGAGGAGGCCAGGATTGTCTCCTTGCTCCCCTCACCTTCTCAATCCTTAAAGCTCTCTAAATGTTTTTTCCCTCTCCACAAGGAGAGGCATAGGAACCACTGGGATTCTTTAGGAGGTACCAATGCCTTGTTGATCCCCTGCCCCTGGAATGTCCCCTGCCTTGTACTGGCTCTGAAGATGGTCCTCCAGCTGCAACAGTAAGAACCACACTGGTTATGAGTGGAGAGATGGGCCTCTGATGATGAAGTCCCCACTCTGACCTCAGAGTGTTTCTTTGGAAGGCTGACCCATCCTGTGGCCTTGCAGAGAGAAAGAACATGCTGGATCAGGCTAAGGGTCCACCCAACACTCCATTCCCATGGTGACAAACCAGCTGCCCCCAGAATTCCTCAAGCAGTTTCGCCTGCCCCAGCTCCTCAGCAACTGGTGTATGCAGCCCTGCTGCCTTTGGTAAGGGAGGCAGCCACGGATTGCCTTCTGCTCTAGGAATTTATCCAATCCCCTATTAAAGCAACCCAAATACGTGGCCATCACCACTTCCTGTGGCAGGGAGTTCCACTGTGTTGGGAGGCCGCAGGACCAGGCATCATCAGCGGCTGTTTTCCCATGAAAGGGACGATAATGATGAATGATACAATTGCGGTGTGATGAAAAAAGACCAAGACGAGACTTGTGGTCCCCCATTCAATGCAACTAGGCCACTTCTTCTTCTTCAGGCGAGGGCTGCTACTTACCAGTTCCACTGGGGGAGGGTCCATGCTTGTGAACATTTTGAAGAGGACTGTGATATCTGCTGGGTTCAGCGCTCCTTTTGACAGCATGGCACCGAGGGCTTGGCAGGCGCGTGGGTAGGATGCAGCAGTTCCCAGGGCTAACGTGATCTGACTGGCATCGTGGCCTCTTGAGAAGATCGAAGCAAAAGCGAAAACCTACTTTAGGCCACTGATGGAGTACGTGACATCAGACAGCCAGTGATGGGAGGGAACAACAATGAAACAATTGACCAAGCGTGGCAGCCCCGTTAAAAACACCCAAACGGCAGCACACAAAGAAGACGGCAGAGTGGTGTTCTCTCACACCTGAGAACTGTGTGAGAGGGGGCTTGGTTTCCCCCTAAGGCGCGGCACATTGCATGCGTAAGCTATTCTCCCTGGTAGGAATATAAATACATACACAATTATCACAAGGAAGAATTCAGAGTGCAAAGGAACCAAAAGCTCCAGACTGGCATAATCCCAGCCGTTAACACAACTGAAAATGACCAGATCTTACAGCGTACCTGAAAGATGCTCAATCTATGAGGATCCTCCCGGGACAGGCTGTTTTGCAGCTGTGGAGCATCAAGCATCACACATGCCTCCCTATATGCCTGCATCATTCATACCTGAGAAAAGGCAGACTTCTTCAACCTGGTGCCTTCCTGATATATTGGATGACAACTCCAATCACCCCAGCCACTGTGGCCTCTAGCTATGCTTGCTGGGGATGATGGGAGTTTCATGCAAAAGGGTGCCACATTGGAGAAGGCTGATGCAGGGAAAAGTCATTCCCAGGTCATTTTAGGGGGCTACTATGAGATGCGACCACTTCTTCCAGTTTGGAAGCATCCTGAGCCATGCATGGAAGGCAGGTAAATGGCTGCAAAGACTCCAGAGGCCAGAATTTTGTAGACTGCCCATAATGTACCCAAAGGATTAATCTTGCCAGAACTGCTATGGGAAGTCAGCATGAAAACCTGCAGATCCGATATTCCACCAGTGACATGTTTTCCAGGCCTGGTTCAGTTTGGATTGCTATTTCAAAATGGACCACCCATGTGGAATGATTCAGGCTTGCTTTTCTACTGGGCTTGCATAATACTAAACCAGGAGTGGAGTGCAAGAATAGCTGAAGATACAACTGGGAATAACAACAATTTAAAATGTAGTCAGGATCTTACTTCTCATGAGCAAACCGCTGAACCTCCTGAGCAATCCTGCGCACAGCAGACCCCCCTTGCTCTTCCTGGGATAATATGGACATTATAGCCTGGGCAAAGAGATACGTGTGTTCACCGTGGCACACCATTTTCTGCAAAAACACAGATTATGAGCTCTTCTGGAAAAGAGGGCAGTATAGAAATAACATCAGCTTGAAGGCGGCAAGAGTTCTCTCAGCACACTTCGTATTTCACTTCATGCACTTTTCAGATAGCTTTGGGACATCAGATCCATCACAGTTCAATAGCTAAACATTCTTACAGAAAAAGATGACACAACAATAAATAGCCTGTCCGACAAATAATCAGCAATAATCATGTCTTAAGATGTATGTTTTGGAATGTCATTTAAACACTGCAAATAGAAGAAGGTGAGGAAAAGCTCCCCTACTCACGCAGTTATCTGTGGTCGTCACCAACCCTTCTCTTCCCTGGCACATGCGGGGGGCTTGAGCTATTTGCCCTTGGGCTGCACTGCCTCACTGCTGTTGCCACGCACAAAAGCACACTGGCAAAGCTGCAAACTGTCCCTTCCTCATCTCCTCTGTTCTTTGTAATGGAAAGGAAATGTGCCGTGTCTCCCTAGAGCTGGACTTCTGCAGGAGACAACAGAGAGCAAATCCTGCAAAAGCCCAGCTCATGGAAGTGAGTCCCTCCTATCCTCCCTGGAGAAGTCAGAGGAGGAAAGAGCAGGGGATTTCCTCCCTGAGCTGGGCGTTTGCTACAAGCTGCGGGAAGCACATTGGTGCTCATTCCTGTCAGCAAGTGAATCTAGGAACCCTGCTTAGAAAGTAAGGTTAGATCCATGACGATAGCTTTCACAATTCTGGCTATTTGCTAACAACAAGAATATAGCTGTGAATCCTGTATGGTTTGTAAGCACTTACACACAACACAACGCTTAATTGGTAGGACATGAGGGTCCATCACTATATCTGAGATGCAGAATACATTCCGTGGAGCCAGCAGGGAAACCATGCCAGCCACGCTGCTTTCTCTGCCCAGGAAATGATCCCAAAGAAGGCAAAAATTCTCTCAGCACACTTCATACCTAGCTTCATGCACTGTGCACCTATCTTTGGGACACTGGATGCATCATAGTGCACAAGCAAACTTTTTTACAGAAAAAAGCAACAGGACAGAACTTACAGCAAACTCAGGTAGATTCTTCTCCAGGTTTTCTGCCCCGCCATCTAAAATGGTAGCCAAAGAGGTACGTAGCACTCGAGAAAAGACTTCTAGTTGCTGGCATGCTGTTGATACACTGGTTATTTCCCCTTGATATCCAGCATCAGAAATAAGCTGCAAATAACAAAACAAAAACACAGCAGCAACTGAGACAAAAACAGCTTTGCACACCATGGGGAGCTCATGCCCACCAGAACCTCTTTGCAAGCACTTCAATAGCCAACATCACATTTTCACTATACTGGAATTAAAATAAAACTGTAAGAATGCCCAAAATTTTACAACTAAAACAACAGAGTAAGACTACATGGAAAGAGGATGATCTATAACTAATATCCTACATATACTAGAAACCGTTTCCACATGCAGAAATACTCGATGCATTTGTGTTGACAATGTGGCCAACAAATGGACTTGCTTAATGGCATCAGGAACCTGACCTGATTTTTGAGATGAGTGAAACAGAGTATTTACTACCTTGACAGTAAAGTTCAGCATGAGACAGTCTGGATGAGCTTCCGCCAATTTGTAGAAAAGGTCCCGCCATGTTGTGTGTGCTATCATTTGCTCAAGCCATGCTGGAGTCTGCCAGAAATCAGGACAACAGATGACATGACCCAGGGCCCTCCAAACTCGATATTTAAGAATCAAGGGAAACAAAAATAGCATCATCCAGCAGAAAATGTTGATGATTCCCCATGAAACGGGTTCAAATGCCAACTCCCCTATGAACTCACTACCAGACACTTCACAAGTTACTTGCAAAACAGCGCCCATGTCAGGATAACCAGGTAACATACAACTAGCATTTGCAAACTGCAACTTCCAAAAGTTGTGGTTTCAGCTAAATGACAGATCCACCTGATTAGGAAACTGATATTCATGCTGGAAAAGGGCATGGATGAAGCAGTGGTTGCTGAAGTTCAGCATGCTCTCTCTCAAAAATTTAAGGTGGTCTGCATCTGGACAACCCCCAAACTGAGCAGTCCTCTCCCAACCATTCTGAGATACAATAAACAACTAGCTGAACTAATCTGAGGGTTTGTAGAGGGCAGGCTGGAGTTTCTTCTGGCCTGATGCAGGTACTTTGGTATTCTGCTTCACCACATCAGGCAGAGCTAATTCATGAGTCTTACCTCTCCTTCCTCTGTGAAAATGGAATCTGCTTTTCGAGGATCAAAGTGTTTAATGAGCAAGCTTTTTAAGTGGTTTTCCACCGTCTCCTGAACTTGAATTGGCTCAACACCTGCAATGATCAGAGTCCCCATGTCTGCATCTACTTTTAACAAGCAGCAATTTCTCAACATTTCCTTTGACTATTCTTGGGCCAAGAGAGTAGAAATCCTCTACCAAATTTAACCAGGAGGCAATTAGGGTAAGTTGTTCAATTTACAGTAATTTGATTTTGCATGACAGCTTTGGCGTGATGTTTCTATTTGCATCTTCTACTTGCATTCATTAGCTACTCCCTTACCTCACCCATTAAAGTGTAGCCAATTCTGTATTTAATTCCCTCCCCCGCCAACCCAAGATGACTCAAAGAGCAGCAATTTTAAATTCATTGATAAAGGATTAAAGCTAGAAAAGAATTTAAACTAGAAATAGTCTTCAGTCATGCCTTATAAAATAAGCAAACTGCCTATGCTAGACGTGTCTATTTTGCTGTATCATCAGCAAATTGTAGAATGGGAGCTCTGCAGCAAAGCCATAGGCCAAAAAAAATAAAAAAGATTAATGGGAACCTACCTGTTTGAATGAGCCACTCAGCCAACAAATTGACCGTCTGAGCTACAGCAGTGTAGTTCTCTGATAGCAGTTGGATCACATTCTCTGGAGAGCCACCTGCTTGGAAATACCTATGAAAGAATGACCCAAACCGTAATGAAACCATTTGTGCTAAATCTTCAAGAATCAAGATCAGAACTCAGGGCAAGTGGTCCAACAGTAGAACCGGGAACCATTTCCACACCTCCTCTCCACCCACACCACCAATGTCATTCTGAACTAACCTCTTTAAGGTATTAAAGATGGATGGCTCCATGATATAATCTCGGGTGGAAAATTTGTGCAAACACTCCTGCTGGACTTCAGCATCATCTTCTTCTCCATATTCATCATCTTGCTGTTTGAATGTACACAATTACCATGATTATATGTTGCTTCTTATAATACATCTGATATTAAAGTTAGCATTCTTCCCTAGCTGGGAGCCAAGTACCCTAAGGAATGTAGTTGGTAAAAGTGAAGAAGCAGCAAGAAACAAGACAGTTTCATTGCTGTGTTACACCTTTCCTCCTGTGGCAACAGGATAATAGCCAGTATAAATGACACTGGCCCTTTCAAGGAGAGCACGTTTGTACACATGCTTTTCCAGGGTAAAAGCACATGGAGAGTTGGACAAAGCCCATGGGCCCTATGTTGCTTATCCTGGAAGATATTCATTGCCATCTATGCCTTATTTTTGGCAGATTTATAGGACTTGCTATTAATATTTGGCAGATTGGATGCAGTATGTATTTTTGGCTGTGCTAAAGCAACTGTGATTAATGCTGCAGTGCAAGGATGGAAAACCTCTGGTCCATGGGCTGGATGCAGTCCTTAGAGGATTGTGCATCTCCTGGGAGGGGAGATGTGAGCAGGATCCTAGTTCTTGTGAGGGCATAAACCCTTTGCCTTCTACTAGGATTCTGCTTCACAGCACCTACGATGCAAAGGAGGAAAAAACAGTATTTGCCCAAACCAAGTTTTTCCTCGGATGCTTCATGACTCCCCCCCCCCCCCAAAAAAAAAAAAAAAAAAATCAGGCCCTTCTAACCCACATGTTGGAATCCTGATCCAAATCAATCCACTCACACCTGCCGTTCGCATGAAGACAGGCCGGTAGAATGAATGGAAGGTGCTTTGTTGCGGAAAAGTGGGCATATAGGGAAATGGGGTGGGGGGATGTTTGCAATTTGACAAATGTGGGGTGGACACACCAATTTTGGCTTTGACCCATCCCACTGCTGGTACACCCCCCTCCTCCAACACAGCACCCTTGAGCAAATATGGCCATCAGGGAGGTTTCCCTGCCCCACTCACAGAGCTGCCCTCTAGGCCTGTTTGCCTTTACAGTGATTGCTACTTACTGTTATAAAAAAAATATAAACTACATCATTATCCCGGAGGGTGTTTCAGAATGCTGTACATAAAAGTCAACCGTTCAAAAGCAAATAACAACATCATGAAATATAAGCATGATTGATGTATATGGTAAAACTGAGCAATAATAAATTGTATTTGTATGACATTTAGTAGACACCTATAATCTCAAAACCATTATATTTCAGCTTACTATTGCTGGAGATAGAAAGGCCTGGGGAAACCACTCCGTTAAAAATGTGTGTGTGGGGTAGGAAGGACCCAGAAAGTTTTGCAAAAGACTGCTTTGCCATAAAAAAGAGGCAATTTACAATGGATTACTTCTTCAGTACCAACAGTGTTAAGACTTCTATTCCTTTTATAAGGAAAGCCTTCTCTATTATTTTCATTTTCATTCCTGCTTTGCCGTTGGATATGTTTCCTCTGTTTATGAATACAGAAGGTTACAAACTATGTTAAATGGTACCTAAAACAAGATCTTGAGAAGACAACCTTCAATTTCTCTCACACTTAGGTTTGCATATTTTTCTTTTTCCTCTGACAAACCCCACACCCCATCTGTTTAAAAAATGGCATTTCTGCAGAAAAAGTGGTTGGTAGGTAACCTATTTTGTCAGTGTTAAAATAGCATTACTTCCTTTATTAATTTAGTACCCTCAAAGCATACTTGGGTTGAGGACTTCTATTTAGAATGTACCTTTTCTTGCTGTGTTTCAGTCACCCCGCACAACAAGCATCATTTCTTGCAATGATGCATAGCAAGACCAATTCTTTCTATTCCTGATCTGCATTTTTAGTATATAACCCCTTTTTGTTTCAGTTACCCACAAAGAAATCTGAAAAAATCTGAAGAAAGCAACAATAGCACCATATATTTATTAGGGATCTAAGATGTCCTGCATGTGCAAGCAAGTTTCTGATTTCCTCAAGATGTTTGTTTCTTGAGGCCAGGCACAGCCACAATGCCTTCCAACTGGTAGTGTTAGCAGCCCTGCATTATTAGGAAGTACCCTAAGTGGAAATCTTGCTTTACCAGTCCTTTGCAATATCTTAGGATGCTTCCAGATGAATGGCTCCTATTGCTACCAATTATTACTATTATTAACAACTGCACCACCCAATAGCTGAAGTTCTCTGGCTAGTTTACAACAGCACATAAAATGCAGTGAAGGCCAAGAGAAAATACAGATAACAATTAAAACAGTATACCGATTACAATACCAACTTTAAAAACGAAATGTAAAAGCTATGCTAGCTAATGCACATTAAATCAGAATACCTGCTAAGCATTTAGCAAAATGCCTCAGTATAATATTAAGACTAATTAAATGCTCTGTCCTAGTGGACAGTCTTATCCTGGTGCTATAAAAATACTGGAGTTGGCTCAGTGGTCCTCAATGGGGGCTTCTCCTTTTTACACCAGCTGAGTTTCCCTTGGAGGTGACAGTCAGAAGCCGGCAGCAGTTCCCTATTTTTCAGGCTTACTGATTCTTTCCAACAGTAAGGACAAAAGTAGAGACTCTGCAAAATTCTGTACATATGGCAGAGCAGCAGCACCTTTAAAGGCCTCGTTTGGAAGGCTCAAAAATAGCTTACAAATGGCATTTCACTGCTGCTGTGTTGGGGATCCCCAGGGTTTCTGTGAAGGTTAACTGGCAGGGCAGTGATACCCCCCTGAGGAGACACATTCCACGTTGTTCAGTAAGGTTGACCCCCAGGTAAGAGGATGCAACAAGGCTGCAATTTGAAACCATGTTGTGTTCTGCACCAAAGACGCAGCACAGCTCCTGTAAGGCCCCTGGGTCTCTCCCTAATGCAGAGCCTGTGGCCATCAAGATGTTGGAGTTGCACTCCCATCAACCTTAACCACTGGCTGCACAGGCTGTGGCCGATGGGGCTGGAGGTTCCTCGTTTGTATTTTAACGAACCAAGAAAGATGCTTACAATTTTTTAATTTTATATAATGTGGAAATTGCTGGGTTGAACTAAAGGACATTCTTAGAGAAACACGTTGAAGGGCACGAACCTATGCATGCTTAGGCAGAGAGAAGACCTTCAACTCCCATCCAACCCCTGTAATCCACGCCAGCTGCAGAGCTGCGAGGCGTTTGCCTAGGCATGCAGAGGATCGCGACTTCAGTGCAGCGGCTGGGATACTCGCCCCTTTTCCCCCATAAACACGGAGGGACACCTGGGGGATCCATGAAAGACACTCTAAAACAGCCCTGCAAAGGGGCGATCCATGCGCCTTCAGAGAGAAGCGAGCCCTACAACTCCCTCCACCGCTCCTGCGCTTTCCGAGCGCCTGCAATGGACCGACGAGGAAGCGTGCGGCTCCTCATTAAGAAATACAAATAAAGAAATACATGCGGAGGGATATTCCAGGGGCCAAAAGGGCCGGTGCCGGTGAGCACGGCTTAAAGCCAGCGCTAAAACTGCGGCCTGGCGGGGAAAGCGCGCCGCGAAAGCGGGAGAGGCGCGCCGCGGGCGCCCGCCCGCCCTCTGTTCCCAGGAAAGGCCTCGCGGGCGTGAAGGCGGCCCCGCGCTTCGTCCTCACCGCCCCTCCGTCGGCGTCGTCCCCCCACTCCGCCGCGCTGCCCCCGAAGTAGTCGGGCTCCTCCATGGACGCGCCTCGCCGCGAGCCGCGAGCCCTCCGCCGCGGGAGGCGCCCAGGCTGCCGCGGTAGAGCTACGAAGAGTGCAGAGGGGCGCCCCCCGGGATGTCCTTCCGGCCATTTCTCTCCCCGCCGCAACGCTCCTCGCCGAAGCTCCCTGGCCGCTTGCCAGGGTTGAGCCCGCGAAGGCGCGGCCAGGCGCTCCGGCCGGCTCGGCTCGGCTCGCCTTGTTTGCGCCGCCCGAGAGCCGACGCTCCCGGGGCGGTTCACAAGACTCGATGAGATAGAAACGAGGGAGGCCGCGACGGGAGGAAAACGCGCGTCGCGCCTGGCGGCAGAGTCCCCCGCGCCGTGCCCCGCACGGAAGGCTGGTCGGCCGCCGGGAGAGCGGGCCGTCGCCTGCGTTAAAGCGTAGGGGACCCGTAGAAGCGCCATCCAGTGCTCTTCAGATTGAGCAGAGTGGCGCAAAAGTGCATCTGATCATGTGCAGAGTGTTCTCTAATTCGTGGTAACCATCTTGGACTTAGATTAGAAGGAAGAGGTCGCGGGGTTTTGCTTTTGAATTCAGTGCGACGGGTACCTCTAAGCTTAAGTATGTGTGTGCACCCATTGCTGGGTGAAAGGGTGCAGTTGTGCCCATGCCCAGTTTGTGGGATCCTGTGGGGCGCTGGCTGGCCACCGTGTGAGGAGAATGTGGACTAGATAATTCAGGAGGGCTCTTTTGATCTAACGTTCTTAAACTATGTAGAACCTACAGAAACATATAAATGTGTGACACCGACACATTAAAGAGATCCCAAAACATTTCCCCATTTCAGTAAAGCCCATTTCTGCTAGTAAAACTGTTGGTATTACTGCTGTGGGCTGAGTAAAAGCTGCTCATGGGCCTCAATGGAAAAATCCAAGATTGGACACATGGTATCATCCACCCCATGGCACCACCCCATTAAATAAACCCCAGGAGGTGGCAGCAAGCTTCCCTACTCCTTACAATGTGAGCGAACATTTTATTTATTTCTTAATATTTTAGGGCACACTCCTAAGCACGTTTAGCAGGTGCCAAGTGCTGTGCCTCCAAGCATTTCCTGTCTGGAGACCTGCTGGAAATTGTAGGGCTTTTTCTTCTCAAAGCATGCCTGGAGTTTTTCCTTAAATCTTGGGATTTATTGTCTAACCTGAGCTACAAATTGCACCTAATGGTATGAGAGCAGTGCCCAACAATGCTTGGGAGATGTAGGCCTTATTTCTGCCTAAACACTCTTTTGGTCAAAGCACAACTCAGTCCACCAGTGACAGGAAGCTTTTGCGTGCAACCCAGCATGAGCTTTGGCTGGCAGAAGGTTTTGATGGGACAGCTCTGTAGATTTGGCTTTTGCTGCAACTAAAGCATTTTTTGTATGGGGGAGTGATGGGGAAGTGGGGTGGGTTTGGCTCCAGGGGAAAAGCTGGCTTCTGACTTTCCACGTTAGCTACAACTGCAACTTGCCATGGGTTGGTCTGTTGTGCGCTATTCTGCTTTCCTCACCCCACAACCAACAGTGTGAGGAGTCTAACAACAGTGCACAACACTGCAGGGTTGTTCGAATTTTCTCGCTTTTTCTCTCCAAGTCTCAGGCTGGCACTTGCAAGCCCAGCAATGGTACATCTTTCTCTGGTACATCTTTCTTTGCTTATATTAGTAGCATGAGGAATCCAATGAGTGAAAGCCATAAAATAAAGCACCATGGCCTACATATAAAATACAAACCTATAAAGAACAATGCCTTCCCGCCCCCTGAGATCGGTGGCAGAGGCCCATCTCCGGGAGCCCTCCGTGAAAGATATTAGGAGGGTGAGTACCCAGAGGAGGACCTTCTCTGCAGTGGCGCCCCACTTATGGAACGCGCTCCCCAGAGAGGTCCGCCTGGCGCCATCATTTGTTTTTCGGCACCAGGCCAAGACTTTTTTATTTAAACGATATTTTAAGTGTTAATTGCTGTTTTTATTTATTGTTTTTATGGTTTTGCCAAGATGTATCTGGATTTTTATGGTCCATTCTACATTTGTTTAGTTGCTTTGTAAGCCGCCCCGAGGCTTTTTGCGAAGGGGGCAGCATTAAAATGCTATAAATAAATAAACAAACAAACAAGCAATATGCAAAGATAAAATCATAAAGGTTGGGTGGGCATCTCAAATAATTTTCACCCATTATCAGGCTCCATCCGGGGCATTTGGAGCAACTAACAATAGGCCTTCCATCATTCATGGGAGTGGTAAAGTAGTGATATAAATGTGAGACTGCTGGTTCCTTTCTGCAGCTAAAGGTCTGCGCTGCTGCAAAAGCTTCATTTTCTCAGGCTTATCTTATATCTGCTAACACCATTGTCCTCAACCCATTGTGACTTCCAGATCCACTTTTCTGGTACATAATAAGTTGACTACATTGCAGGGTTGGTTTAAAATTCTCAGTCTCAGCCTGAATCTGAAGCTGCAATATCCCGAGTGCGGGGCTGCTTGTATGCTGCTCTCTCACAGCCAGTTTCTTTCAGTATAGGGACAATGGACTAATTATATTAGATGGGCTATTTTTAAAAAAATAAAAGTGTTGAAAAACACATTTCACTTGCAATAAAACCCACAGCAGAAAGAACTGGAGCTACACTTTTCGCTGTTACCCTTTGTGATTTTTTTTTGTGGTGCGGGGGAAGAAGGAGTGTTAAAATATTGTATTTCGCTGCATTTCAACGGGCACCACTCCCACTTCTACCTCGGGAGATACTTGAAGATGGTTTCCCATTGCGGATCAGAAGTAGCCTACAAGACGGAGAAAGGGTTCTCTCAAAGAATATCTCTGCGGTGACGAAACGGCCCTGCAGAGGCCTCTGGGTAATGGCGGGAGGATGAGAGAAGCCAATGCTTTGGGCCCAGATCAAAGGGAGTTCCGGTATGAAAGCGAACCGTTGACGATCAAACCGCCTGTGTTGATAGATCACTATAGAGGTGAAGTGACCTCGCTGGCGGGTGGTGTGGGTGGACTCAGACGGGAAACCGGAAGTTGGGTGCAGTTCGAGCTGTTTGGGTTGGAATACAGCTCCCAGCCCCCGCCAGCTGTCTGTGCCTGGCAGCGACGTGCTGGAAGGTGTTCTCGAACGCCTGGTGGGAACCAGTTTGGGGAAGGTCGATCAGTGCATTTATAGTTAATTAAGTTTCCCTGCACATGTGACAAAGCAGTACAAAAGCACTCCCGAGCATGGGCAGAGCTTTAAATATGTTAAATATGTTGCACGGAAGACAACAGTGCAAGAAGCACTGTTGGCGGGATTTTATGATTGTAAGCCGCCCCGAGGCTCATGCGATGGGACGGCATATAAATTGTTTAAATAAAATAAGATTACTTCCTTATATGCCCCAAATTAAGTACCCTGAATCGATTAGACTATATAATTGGTTCAGTTGATTATGTAGCAATGGTGAAACTATGTAGAAAGACGACCGGTCAAAGAAAATGATAAGTGGAAATTGTATTATGTGCAGCCTCTTTTAATGGTGATAATAACAGAAAAGGAAGCTTTGAGAAAACTGTATGAGTTTAGAAGAATCCTCAATGAAATTTTATAAGTCCAAAACATGTGATTGTGTAGAAAGGATAGTAATTGTTGGTTTAGAGCAATTTTCCTTAAATATTTGATATCCTAGGCAACATTCGTTCAAGAAACCTTGTTGGATTTTTGTTTTTTGGTAACATATGTGTATTCTTATTTTTTCTTTTCTCTCCTCAAATTTTACTGTTATTAAAAAATAAAAATGTACAAAAACATGTTTAATTGTTGTTTATCTGTGTTAAACCTTCTTGAGTTAGTACCATGTGCAACATTGCCTGCACATAAAACCATATTATGACAGCAGTCTAATGATTGTGGTGTGGTTATTATTACAGCCTTCTTGGAATTTGGTGATATTTATTTGTTTATTAAAAACCTGAATATACTTCCTTTGATCCCATTGGATTTCAGGGCTTCTGTACACAGAGTAATAAAAACTTGGAAAAAAATGGGGGAAACTCCATTTTATTCCCAAGAATTTTTTTCCAGAAAAAGAGCAAGAAGCAAGTTGCAATAGCATGTCATGAGCTCAAAGGCTGTCAACAATGAATTCCCAAATGTGGGACTACAGTTCCCATCAGCCGAAGCCACTGCACCCAGTGGTGCGATATGATGGAAGCACAGTGTACCTTTGCTGTCGCTCCTGTCCTGTATAAGCTGCACTAGCTACTAGTTGATGTCCGGACCCAATTCAAAGTATTCACAATAACATATAAAATCCTAAATGGTTTAGGGCCTGGTTATCTAAGGGAATGTCTCCCCATATGAGCCTGCCTGAACCCTAAGATCATCCATGAAGATCCTCCTCTGAGAGCCCTCCTTGAGAGAAGCGAGGAGGACGGTATGAGCAGGGAGCCTTCTCTGCAATAGCATCACGATTATGGAAATCACTTCCCGGAGAGGTGCGCCTGGCACCTACACTTTATTAGTTTTGGCACCAGGCTAAAACCTTTTTATTCTCAGTTTCTAAATAATGTATTTTAATTAGTTGTAGCAAGTGTGGGCACTGAGGAATTTTTAACTATTTTGCGGTTGTGATATGGTTTTAATATATATACTTTTGGCTTTTTATGTCAACTGTCTTGAGATTTTCTAATAATCAGATGGTATATAAGAAATTTTAAATAGATAAATAATATCCTCTTAATAAACTGTTTCCCATGCTTGGGTGTGCCATGTGCTGAATCCAGCAACTGGTCCAGGATTGAGGGACCAGGGAAGTTCTGGGTGGGATGTTGTCCAGTTGACTGGGGGAGCAGGGAATCCCTGATGGCTTTCCAGTATACACCAGTCCTCTTCCAGTTGCACTGGCTGTCAGTTGAAGTCCAGGCCTGCTTCAAAATGCCAGTACTTTCAAAGTGCTAAATGGCTTGCAGCAAGGTAAGCTGAAGGTTCACCTCATCCCATGTGTACCTACTCAGGTGCTGAGGTCATCTCTGGGACCCTTTTCCAGGAGCCTTTCCAAAGGAAGTCAAGTGGGTGGCTACCAGAAGAAGGGACTTTTTGGTTGTGGCATCCTGGTTGTGGAATGAGCTCTCCAAGGAGGTGCATCCAAGCACCTACTTTATATTCTTTTCAGCATCAGGTGAAGACCTCTTTATTCTCCCAACATTTAAACACTTTACATTTTAAACATTAATATTTGTTGTGAGCCGTCCTGAGGCTATGCAAAGGACGGCATAGAAATGTTATAAATAAATAAATATTCCACTCTGCTGCAATGCTTCCATGATGATTGAATTGCAATTGTTGTGGTGGTTTCATGAAGTTGATTTTATCTTGTATGTGTCTTTGTGTGTGAGTTTTACATTTTTCTCTACTTTTGTTGATGCCCAGACAGCCTCACCTATTGAACAATATAAAAATAAACAAATAAATTTTGAAAACCTCCACAACTACATAAACTCGTGGAAGGGGGAGAAGAAATTAAAAGGCTCCCCCTATTATAATTAAATGTTTGGGTCACACTTGTTAATAACAGCAAAAACTCAGCTGTGTTATGTAGATAAACACAACAGGTTTACTTTCAGAACGTTATGAAAACTTCCCATTGTTCAATCCAATAATCTTTTTCTTAAGCTAATCCCTTCCATTCAATTTGCAAAGCACAGATGGGAAAAGAAACCAAGCACACTTCAGATGCAAATAAAATCAAATATATCCTTGTTTTAGTCATATGAGAGCTTTGTCTTGCTGAGTCACTGCTACTGCCGATCCTATCTGAAGTTGGGATGCTTTGGCTCAAGATGCACACACATAAACTGCATGTAATCAATTTTGATGCCCGTTCTCTCAGCTTGGAGGGTTCCCCTTGGAGCACCTCAAAATCCATCCTAAAAGGTTTAGTGTCATCAGCAAACTTGGCTGCTTCTCTCACTACTTAGTCCTAATCCCAGATAATCTATGACTGGTTTGAAAAGCATTGGTCCTCATACAGAACCTTGTGGGACTCCACAGGAGAAATTGGCTTTTATGCTCACTGTCTGTCTGCAATAGAAATAATGAATACTAAACTGAACTGAAGTGCTCTGATGTCAGCAGCACTGATGATTTTGGAGATACAGTGCAGCACCATGGATCTGGCTCCTTTAAATTTCAGACAATTCGAGGTCGCTAAGCAGCTCTGCTGAATTAGAATTTGCAGGAACAACCTGCAAGGTATTCATGCAGTCCTACTGTCTAGAAGATACAACTCTTGGGTTGCAGTTGGCACAATTCCCAGTCAGAACTGTGGATGTTTCAGCCCAAAATATTCGGAGAGCGCCAGGCTGCTCTGAATGGCTCAGTACTCGCATATCTCAAGAGCAGCCTCCTCCAATAGCAACCATCACAACTGCTCATGGCTGAGGCTTTGGCCCATGTTCCTGTCATTGGAGGAGATGCAGGTGTGCATACTGGGCAAAACTCTTTCTGTTGGTGTTCCCAGGCCTTAGCACACTTTCCCCCAGGGACCTTGTTTGATTGCTTCATTTCTTTCTCCGATTGTCACATGGTGAACATTATAAGAAGGAATTGGAGGGTAGGGCAAGTTTATTTAAGAAAAATCGCAACACTATTTTATTTCATTTTAAAAAACGTTTTAGATTTACTCTGGATCTTTCTGCTGTTCTTGGTTGCATGATGAGGATAAACATAATTACTTTGATAATTCACTAATGGCCTGTTTCAGATTTTTATCTATTTTGTAACTCACTGGATACAAATATTTAAATGACAATTATAGCCTGATAATGGTCATGCTTGTTGTACACTTTTGAGTTTGTTGCACCATGGATGCATGTCATGGATGTTCGTGCCCACAACCCAGAATTCCTGGCAGTCAGAACAATACAAATGTTTACAGCTGAGAGTTCAAAAGCAAAGATTCAAAAGGGACCAGCAGACCCTGAGTTAACAGACATGGCTATCTTTGGATTACATCCTCAAGTCCTATTATAAATTTATTTGCATTTATCCTAACAGGACTGCCTAATCATTGTTCTTCTGATTGCCACCTAAGTATACAATTCTGTTCTTCCAAGCCCATGGCTGAATTCCCGTTTACCTAAATAGGGCCAGAATTATGCTGCATTTGTTGAATGTGCATTGATCTGTATGAGGTGGAGGTAGGTGCAGCAGCTTGAACTGCTGGTGAAAGTTCAAGTCATATCAGTCTGGTTGCAAAGGTTTGGAGCGTTAATTCATAAAAGGGAAACTGCCAAAATACAATCTGTTCTGGGTCCACAAACTCCTTCCTGCTCTATCTTGTGGTAGATTCACATGAACTAAGCAATCTTGACTTGAGAAGATGAAGGAGCTTCTTGCCAAAAAGACTAGGGTTCTGACAGATCTTCACAGATACATTGCCTTGCAGTGAAAGGACATTTTCACTGATTATACTCTTACTTGCAGCTTCCTTCTCCTTCTCTACATAATTTTGAGACATCAGTACTGGTGTTCTTTAGGCATCAGAGTCAAGGAAGCATTTTACCAAAAAGCTTTTAACACAATGGTCTGAATTCTTCAGCAAATGTGAGGCAAGTGTTTGTATGTTGCAACCTGATCATGCAACAATGCATCTTTGAGGCAGCAAGGAAACCAGAACACTCTAATTAGAATGGGCAATCAAGCCTGTGGTATTTTTCCCAATTGCCACATAACCTCTTTTCTGCTAAAAGCTGCACCTTCCAAGAGCTTATACATTCTTTAAATGTGTCTCTCATTCTACTCCTGCAGATTTCGAGGAAGCAGACTGCTTTTACTGTCTATCTCGAGTGGGAAAATTTTGGCCCTTCATATATTTTGATCTTTCTTTCCCATGATCCCCTCAAACTTAGAACAAACTTAGGGAGTATGGAAGAGACATCACCTGACTGTAGCCATTAGCCCTGGTAGTCCTTATGGTCCAAACGATTTTAAGGATGCTTCAAATTAAAATATATTCCTGTTAGCATAAGGTAGATTTAAAAAATGAAGCAGCAGTATCTTTTCCTTAGAATACTCTTGACTGGGTTTACACAACTTGGCAACTGATCATGACTATGTAGCCACAAAGGTTTTCCCCGATACCTGAATCCAGAATGCCTCGTACAGGATGACTTTTCAGCAACAAGTCACTCTGATAGTCTCTCTCTCATTCTAGGGGTTCTTTGATCCACAATGGATTGTCATGCTATTCCAACCCAGGAGAGAAATTTCACTAAAGCTTGCCGGGGTCAGCAAGAGAGCTGCTTGGGGTGAGCACCCCACCACCCTCCGGGATGCCACCCTTGCTGTTACCAGTGACAGCCCCTCCACCAATGCCCTAGCAACAATGTGGAATAACACATTAATTCATCAGCCTTTTCTTTGGAATAACTCACTGGAATAATTCAGTGGTTCATCAACCTTTTCTCCCAATTCTGCAAATGTGTTTTTTGTGTCTCTTGAGCACTATTGTGCAATATTTGGGGTCTGAAAAATACACAGCTTCCCAACTTCAAAAGGGGAAAAATGGCAAATGAAAATGCAGTGATCAGAGTTGGGCAGGGGAGACAAGATGGCTTCTGTTGTGAAGGACACTGGGATACAATCTGGGAAACCAGAGGAAAAGCAAGGGGAAAGAATAAACCCCAGTGTGCCCAATCTTCTGTTGGGTGCACTGTGCGTGGGGTTGTTCTGTGAATAACCCACACCACAGTTTATATGTAGGGTTGCTTAAAGCCATTGTCCTAAAACCCATTTTATTAAACATAGTTTTGGCTTAAAATGTCACTTCCATATGGAGGTTGGTTTTGAAACAATCACACTGCAATTTATTATTTGTACAAAATACCTCAAGTAGTCAGACTAGATTGCAAGAGACCAGCATGGAAGAGGAATTTGAAATTCAAATAATTTTGGATTACACACTTGCAAAAACATTACTTCAACCAGTATTTAAAAAATAATACCTAAACACACCCAACAAAAGAGTTTGACATATCTTCCCTAAAAATACTTGGTAAGAAGGGCAACCAAATATAATCGCAGAATGCCTAATTTTCTGCTTGAGGAAATACAGGCTTCATCTTGTCATCACAATGGAAGTAGTGACAGATCCTGATCAATACTGATAAATATAAATGTGGCCCTAGAACTGAGTTTTATTGGTAGAACTGGTAACGGTTTTATTTGTGGACATTGTACATATCAACACTGTGATTAGTATGTTGTAGGTAAGAATAGCCAGCCAGTTATTAAAGTAAGAAGTTCCTGAAAGAGGTGATGGATGCAAGTTTCTCCTCAATCATGTCCTTTTTTTTTGAACAGGAACTCCAAATAAATATATAGAAATGCAAGTCCAAGGAAAAGATGAGTCTTATACTGGAATGGTTTAAATAATTGCAAAATTAAGGCAACTAAATTAGAGACAGAAGAAAACACAGAATTAAATAGCAAGTATTGAAGCTTTATGGGTTTTTGTATTAAAAAATAAAAACAAAATAAAGGGAAAAGTTGTTAAAAATAAGACTTGTGTTTACCAGGCCACCAAATTGCACGAACTTAGAGACAGACTAACAGAGGCAATACTAGGACGCTCTTGCTCTCACGCGCGCGTGCACACACACACACACACACCCTCTCTCTCTATATATACATGTGCAGCCCAAGCTGGTTTCAAACACTGCATTTTCCTGCACACCTTTAAGAACATCTCAAACATTTCTATTCATATAAAGCTTTACAGAAGTGTATATTAATGGTATATGGGTGCATGCACATGTGCCCACACACGTGCACAGGCCTACTTCATTATATATGCTTCATTCTCTTCCTCAAGGAAGGGACTCTTGCTTGGAGATGAAGCTTTGCTTCTCTTGTATAATACTACATTCCTTGTATATAGTTAAATTTCTGATTCTTAATTTGGTTCATGTGTCATCTCCTACACTCCCCTCCAAGGCCTTAAGAGAGATTAAAACAGGTTTGGCACTAAACTTGAGAGATTGTTTTTTGTTAAAAAATGAAAACAAAATTAAGGCTCATGTATTATACTGTGTGTTTTGTGCCTCTATCTCTGAAATCCCAATAATAAGCATTAGTTAGGTCTTCTATGGGGCAAAGGTGCATTTTGGGTCAGGTTTGCCACTGATTCCAAATGCTTACAAGGCAGTTACTCTTACAACACTGTAAAATGGACCTTTTAGAACACATTTAAGTGCAGACATAGGCTGCAATCCAAAGGAGCTATTTATGGTAGCATGAGAGAACTAGGGCATACCTAGCCAGGGCTGCTTCTGTTGGTGACGTGACTGCTGCTCCCACACCTGATGAGGCAAGCTGGCTTTAAAAATCAGATGTGGTTTGGGCTCTCACTGAGCTTGAGCAACAGAGCAGGAGGCACACAGAGAGAATCTCACCAACGCCAGCTGTTCTGTCACCACTACATGCAGCCACAGAGTCAAGTTGCGCGTTTACAAAAGGCAGAACCATTCTTTCCATTCTAGCAGGGATGGGTGGAGAACCACCACTTCCTTCATGAGTCTAAATGTGTTGAAGTAGACAGGGAAATTAATTTTCTCATCAGAGCCTTAATCTCCAAATTAGCTGTCCTTGTCACACTCCTCAATGCATGTAGCTCTTAACAGGGAAAAATATCTCTGGCACCTGTGGACATTCTTGGACACAGCATAACCTCTAAAACAGGGCCTCTTCCTAAGACAGAGGCTCAAGATGATGACTGGTGGAAAGAAGCTAACATGTAAATGGCAAGTAATAAAATAATCACTGTATTAAGACCCAATTCCCCGTCCCCCATTCTTTCGGATGGGGCAAAGGGGTGGCTTGAGTAATATAGGCTAACACTGTTCTAGATGTGTTGTTGTAGCTGTAACTGTAGACTGTACAAATTTGTACATGTAGCTTTAGACACATGAAAAAGTAATATGTTCACAAAGACATAAAACACCTGTATAAAATATAAAGCAGTGTAGTAGTTACTAAAATTACATGCTGTCTTATTGCTACGGTGATTTTTGCTCTTTCCTTTTTTAACTGTACCACATGTTGTTCTAAGCATATAATTTGCATAAATTATTCAAGTTTAAGAAAAAATCCACACATTTTCACTTTAAACTACTTATATACTTAATATAAAACACATTTTATATTATATTCTCTTTATTAAAAGAGAACTATAATGTCACTTGAAACTGAAATTCAGTGGCCAAATTGAGGGGCAAGGTACATCTTGTCATTATGGGAGTCTTATGCCCATACAGAAATAGTGTAAGATGGAAAGGTATATCTGACCTGGCATAAAGAAGGCCATAAGGCCTGTGCAATGCTTGTACATTTGCTTTTTTTGTTGTTGTTTTTGTCTTTTTGCACCAAAAAGAAAAAAGAAAAAAAGAAAACCCCAAAAAACTATGAATGACAAAGACTAACATTTATAATTTGTAGCAAAATTTGGTTTATGTAGAAACAAGCCATGTTTTGCATTTGGATAGAGATTTAAATGAGTTAAAGCTAAAAATTAAAAAGCATGATGCTGCAACATCTGGTCACTTGTTGTAGGCCTCACTTTTAAAGTGGTTAAGTTTGCACGATTTGTACTTTTTAATATACTAAACAGTATTTTTCCTCCTTCTTTTATAAACCAGAAAAAACCCTAAACTACAGATAAATTTTCCCTACCTTGAGCGAATGCTGCGGATAGGGTCGACAAAGCTGTACAGCGCAATCAAACATACTTACATCTTAGCTCATTGCACAGGTACAGCCATAATCAAGGCACAAAGATCTTCTACAAGTTATTTTTTTCAATAAAGTTGTACAAAATAATACATTTTACAGTCTGTACAAGAATAATAATCCAGCAGTAAAATGAAAACTGGGAAGAAAGAGGCATGGGGGGGGGGGGAGAAGAGGAGGAGAGAAAGAGAAAAAGAAAGGAAGATTGTGAGGACTACAGCCCAGATAATGATTTTGTTTAATAGCAGACAGGATCATCAGTGGACAAACTGAAAACAGTGTGTGGTTAACTCTTTCTGCAATCACAGGCCATAATGCAGTTCATTTTGCAACGTTCCCGGTCACCTTAAAACCGCCAAGGTAGCAGTTGGTTTGTACTGTCTAGGTTTGTTGTAGAATTGTCAGTATTTCCACTCAATGTCACATTCTGAGGCAGAAAACCAGACTCAATCGCCTGTCCTTTCAACTTGGTCTGTGACTTGGCACCTTCTTTAGTCTGATGCAGTGAATGGATATAAAGTTGAAATCATGGGATATATGTTTATGCCCACAGCAGTGCTAATTACCTAAAGTTCTCTCTCCCATTTTGTTTTGTTTGCTTTTTAATATTTAACTTTAATCCCAAATCCTCTCAGGTGCTCCACCTTCAGGGCATTATTAATTTTTTGTTGTTGTTAATGACAGTGTTAAGAGAAGCCCTCCCCCTGCTTGCAGAAATGGCCTTTTACATTTCATGGGCCATCTCAAACTGTTCCAAGGGGGTGAAGCAAGCAAGCTTAGAAGTGCTGCTGTTTGTCCAGCAAGGAGAAAAAGGTTGAGGGATGCAAATCAGAGGGAGATTGCAATAGTTCTCTTCCACCCTATGTGGGCCAGGTTTTTTTTTTCTTTTTAATAAGGAATAAGGAGTCCCAAACAGAGTAAAAGTGCTCTCCATCACAACAACTCATATTGGCGAAGGTGCATCCGTTGAATAATGTCCCGACAGTCATTGAAAACCCTCCGAATGTTTTCTGTATCAACTGCACATGTGAAGTGAGGGTAGCAGTAGTGCCTTCCATCTCCACTTGCTGTGCTGATTCTCTGGAGGAAAAATAGATACAGAGCGTATGTCAAAAACATAACAAGATATGGAGATGGAGCGTAAGCGCTGGCTCTCTTGTCGCCTATTTTCTCTAATACATTATCTTCTAAATTCAAAGATTTCGATTTCTAAGGCCAAATACAGATCAAAACAACACAGCTTTAGAACAACTGGCTGGCAAACTTATCCACAAATTAGCCCTGCGTGGTGCCAACATTGTCATCTTTTGATGCCTGGTAAAGATATTCCTCTGCTCCCAGGCATTTGGAGCTATATGGTATGTCTTCATGCATGAACTGTTTCTGATTATCGTCTGAACTGATACTTTACTTGCTTTACTATAGTTGGTTTTGTTTTTAGCTTTTGTTTTTATATCTGGTATGCTTTATTCCATTGTAAGTTGCTTTGCGTCTTTTTTTTTTTTTTTTTTTAAGAGGAACGCCACCGCTGCTCCCATCACTGACAGAGACTGATATATTGGTTAGGAAACATGTAATGACTGCCATTGTACTTTGTTAGTAGAATAGCGATACAGGTAGAAACAGAGCAAGTCAGAAGGGACCTCCGGGGCCATCTATTCTGACCCCCGGCTCCAGGCGGCTCCTGTCATGACATACCTACCATGTGAATGCATGCCTTTCCAAAGCCACATAATTTTCTGTGCCAGTATCAATGATTTTTATAAAAAAGATAATAAGTAGCAGAAGTCTTAGGATGGTGATTCAGTGCCTGTGAACTCTGTCTAATTAAACAGGATTTACAGTCACAAAAAATATTAAAAGGACAAGCAAAGACTTTCGTAAGAACACAATTCAAGAGAGAGGCACAAATACTTCATGCAATGCCACAGAGAATTCTGGGGCCTCATATAAGGACTGCAACTGTCTGATAACAATACAACTGTTTCAAGCAATTCTTGGGTTGCATGTGCAGTCTGATTTGAGTCCAGGTCGCTACTGCATCTTTTCTCAAATGAACATGTTAACTCTTAAAGCTGGGACGAATTCATTATAAAGGCTCAAAAGCAAGGTGCAGTTAGAACTCAAGAAAGCATACTTACAAGAAATTCATCTCTAATAAAATACTTGGCCCTTGTAACTCTAGGATCCTCACCAGGTTCCGGTGTTGCTGCTCAATTAAAACAACAACACAAGATTATCTTAAAATAGGAATTCAGTTTGATACCTTGGCTTATATATACAGAAGCAAAAGAAGAGAATTTCTTAGAGCTGTTTCATAAATACACATAAGCAGTATCAGAAGATGTTGCAGAATGCAGAAACAGACTGTACTAGGGCTTGTGGTATATGAGAAACATGGTGAATAAGGATGATTTAAACTGTAACATAATCTCTAGTGGGACATATCAAGTTCTTGAAAAAAGCTTGTACAAGGACTTGTACAGAAGGACAAGTTTGGAGTTTGGAATTGGAGTTACTTTTCTTATGATATACTCTTTTGCAAAGTTCAAAATGGTCCTTCTGTGCCTAGAAGAGACTTCCTGCTAGCGCAAGGACAGTTTTGGATCCAAGCCCTTATAATCTGTGCCCTATCCTAGGGGTAAGCAATTGGTTGCCTTCAGGATGATTACAGCTGCCATCATCCTGGCTATTGGTCATGCTAGCTGGGCTGATGCAAGTTGGAGCCCCGTATTGCTACCTGTGAAAAATACACAATCCTACTAATTCAGTATTAAGTAATGTTGGCACTATTTTAACCCGGACTGAATCCATAAAGGAAGCCACAGCTGTCAGTTTGGAAGATCATGGACAGGACTTTTTGAAGGGTTTTCATTCATAGGGTCGCCATTAGTCAGAGACAACTTGACGGCACACAACAACAACTATTTTAACCTGATAAAGCATTCACCTGACTTGAACTGCACTTGTTCTGATTGGAGATCAAAGGGAGTTGCAATAAAGAAATAAAAAACATTTAATAATCATGAAAAAGAAAGTGAGAAATTCTGCACAATCTTATATTAAAATAGAAGATGAAATGACCAAATTGCTACATACTGCATCGAGCTGTAAAACAATCTCACTAGCCCCAGTCGCACACACAAAAACTGAGGATATGCTGAATGTCAACTCTCTTACCATCTTCTGGTGTTGTGTAGCGAGCAAATTCTGGAAAGTAGTCTTCAATTTTAGATTTCCCTGCCAAAACTTTCTCTGCTAGCAAATCCTGCTTGTTGAGGAAAAGAATTACTGAAATGGTCCGTAGCCACCTACAACAGAAGACAATATATTGTTAAAAATGTGGCAAAAATTGCATGAAGGGACATGAAGCAGCAGACCCTAGAGATAACATTCATATATAGTCTAATAAATCTTCCTGCTTGCCTCAAATACTTCTCATTAGTTAATCTTTACTTTGCTAACCTGATATATATTATTTTCTCTTTTACATTACTGCTGTTTGACTAATCTGTATCACATATATACTGTCATAAATCAATGCAATTAATTATTATTAAGGATGTGATTGGTCAAAATGAAAGGGATGGACCTGTTATTCCAGATACTCTTGAAAAGATTTAATGCTTCTTGAAGTCGGTTGGTCTGATTGTCTTCTCTTATAACCATGTTGTAGCTACTGCTGGCCACCACAAAGATGATAGCAGTTACATCTAAAACATAAACACAAAATAAAAATCAAAAACCCCATAAAATCTTCAAGAATGTTCTCTCTGGTATTGCTACCTTCTGCTCTCCAAAGAAGGAAGAATTATGAGACATGGGGGAAAATGAAGAGAGAGTACAAAAAGGGTAAAATCTTCTGTATGTATGAAGGAAAGCAGAATGTAAGTGGTAAAATGTTACACAAGGATGCAAAGAGACAAGAGTCAGAGGAATATATGTGGACAGAGCTGCAGGACATGAAAGATGTTGAGGAAAGGAAGAAAAAATAAGGTAGTCAAAATGAGCCTGTGGTGGAAAGAATATTAAAAGCAGAAATACCTTTTAGGACAAATGTCTCTTTTTTGTAAGCAAACAGTGATAACAAAAAAATACATGAAACCTTCAAATCAAAGAAATATTTCTTGGACAGGACAGTGGAAAAACAAATGAGGAGACATGGTGGGTGGTGGGGAGAGATGATGAAAAAGGGATGTATACTGCAAAGGAAGGACTTGTTTTCCTTCCATTTCATACCATACCTTACATATGACACTGTCTCTTTCTTGAAAGACACAGACTCATAGGATGGAGCATTCTATGAGTCTATGTGGTTGTGCTTCTCCAGACCCTCATAATCCTTCCCAAGCTCCTATGCTTTTGACATCAATTAACAGGAGAGATGAAGAGTATGACTGAAGCAACCAGAAGAGGAAGGAGCAGAAGGGAAGAAAACATGGCACAGCAGCCATTTATATATTGGTAAAGGTAGAAAAAAAAGTCTGTGGAAATCACAGCCCTTCAGTTATTAAAGACGTGCAAGACTTTGAACAGCTGAAAGAATGGCGGAACCCCAGAAAAGAAATGGTTTTGTAGCACCTCCTTAACATGCTGATACAAACTCAGCTGCTGACTTGTACCACATGTACCTCAAGGTGTGCATAAAACCTTTCCTAATTTTCATCAAAGAGAATCAAGAACTGTTACTAGAATCATGTACACGTTGCTAGTGTTCCAGAAAATACCACTAATAGTTGGTCTCTCTATCTGTCTGTTCCTCTGTATGCCCCCCCCCCCCGCATATGCTCCATTCTATCTTTTACTACTTTTATAGCACTCATGCCAGGAGCAGGGCAAGCAGGTATTAATCGCAGTGCTAGCAATGATTGCTGGGACAAAGGTTTCAGAACTTTTCTCATCTGTCACTGTCACAACTCTTCTTGTTCCTGTTTTCAATATAAAAAACATTAACTGGATATATCCAGCTATTATGATTTTTCAACCAGGAGAAAACAATGATCTACCTACTTCGTACATCCCATGGCAATGGGATTCTTCTCTTGTTTTTAGATTTTCACACATCCTACTGTTAACAATGTCCAATTAGCAGAGTCAGCATGTATCTGCGGCAGAATTACTACAAATCCACCACAATCTAAGTCTGTCTCCAAAATATAGAAAGAGCCTACTAAACATATAATAAGGAAGCACAACAAGGAAAACTTACAAGTGTACTGAAGAGTACAAGGAACAATGTATCAGGAAAAAAGGAGGATTACAGCAATGTATGGGGAGCCAGGTCTCACTGGTTCCAAGTTCCCAGATGCCGGTTGTATGTTACGTTCTCCCAGACAGATAGATATAACCTTTATAGTAACATAAAGGAAATTCATTTTCACTCTTACCATTGAAACACTGGATCCATTTTCGGCGCTCATCTCTTTGTCCACCAACATCAAACATACTAGAAAGAAAAGGAAAAGTTAGTGGCTCACTAGACTGGAGATCTTTAATGTGGTGCCCATGGGTACCCTTTAGGGCAGGGGTCTCAAACTCGCGGCCCGCGGGCCAATGGCCGGGACGGATGGGGCACGGGGAAGGGGCCCTGCGGCCTTCAAAGCGCCGGTGGCGCCCGGGCCAGAGGCGGGATGAGCAGCCCACCACCACCGTGGGGGTGGAATACTTGATGCGGCCCAGCCTCACCCAGACTCTACTTCCAGCACCCCCAGGTAAGTTGAGTTTGAGACCCCTGATTTAGGGTATCTGGAGGCCCTCTGGCCCTCTTCATTTTAATTTTATTCTCTAAGAGTTTTTTAAACAAAATCATTAAAAAATACACTGGATACAAGCTACAAAATGACATACCACCCTTCAACACCATACTCAATTGAATTTAAAGGAGTCCTTCTGCATTTTAGGGCTCAGAGGATGCCTGTGCCCTTTATTAATGCCCTTTATAGACAAATTATTTTTCCTTTGGCTACACCAGTTGTCCCACTGGAAATGAAAGTTCTGTGACCAGAAATGCCCACCAAAGTAGCCACTTCATGTATGGATAAATCCCTCAATGATGCATCCCTATGTGCAAAAAGGGCAGAATTCACAAAAATCCTAATTCCAATTTATATGACAGAATCCAAACTACTTTCTCTCCCAATTTATCTTCCTTGTAATTATGAGAAATACAGCTGTACAAATTGGTTCTATGTTTAGTTTAGCCTCAAGTCCTCCACTTTTAGCAATACTTACTGGAAGTTTACTTTGTCCACCTGAAACTTGGTTTCAAATATTCCTGATGTTAGAACTCTGCATCTAAGAAGGTCCTTAAATAATAAAAAAGGCCAGTTAAGGAGATTTCTCTCTGCCCAAATGAACATGCTTATCTGGAAAAGAACATGATACTGAATGCATGGGACTGTGTGCTGCTAGTGGGAGAAGGAAGAGAGCAGCACTATCTGCGAATGTTTAGGCCAGGCATAAATGAAAGTGGTGTGTGGATCATATTTATTTTAAAAACACATATCCCTAATTTTCCCAGTCCTCCAAAAAGAAATGCAAACTGTTTTACAATAGTAAGAAGAAACAGACTATAAAACTAAATCACATAAAATACATTTATCTACATTCAGAAGATATTAGCGTAATAAAAAACCCCAAAACAATAAAACCAACAGCTCAATAAGGCCATAAAACCAAAACGAAGGCACAGCCAAAGGAAAACAACTCTGATATGATAAAGAGGTAAGTTTTTCAATTTAAGATCTTCCTAAACAACCAAGTTTTTTGACCAAATGTCTAAAATTATGCAAGGTCAGCATTTGGTGAATCTCAACCAGGAAACATTCCAGTGAGTGCACCAGAAAGGAAAGTTCTACGCTTTCCTGACACGCACCAGCCTCAGAGGGCTTCTGAATATGAAGCAGAGTTTCAACTGATGAATGGAGCACTGATGGAAGGCGGCACTGCTTAAGATATCCTGGTTCCAAGATGCTTATGGCTTTAAAAGTTAAAACCAGCACTTTGAATTGAACCCAGAATGAGACTGTCAACTATTTGATCAACCAAATTGAGTATCATATAGTCAGATCACTTTGTTCCAATCAGTACCCTCCTGCAGCATTTTAAACTGAACTGCAACTTTCATAAACTTTGCAAGAGGAGCTTCACATAGTTCACGATACAGTAGTCTAGCCTGGAAGTAACTGAAGGACTGTAGTGACCCAAATCAGATGGTCCACTCACCAAAAGTACTTCCATATTGTTGTGCTTAAATTTTAGCTTGTTTTGCTCCATCCTTAGTATTTTGTGTGAGTAATATGAATGAGAACAAAGGAAGAAAACAGGCATTGAGAAGTAGTGTGTGCACACACAGAGACATTTCTATAGGTCTTTAGCAGCAGTTTTGTATTTTCAGTAAGTGACATATTTGTTATAATGACATGAAGATATAATATACAAATAAATGAATCAAGCAGCACAGTGACAAAAGATGAAACCTGCAATGAAAAAGCAGGTACTCTTGGAAAATGTAAATTTATTTTTCTTAAAAGCCATTTTACTTACCTGGTCAGATGGTGTATATTCATTTTGCTTGACGATGTCAATCTTGTCTAGAAAACTAGAAGA